AATGTTAAATCAATGTATGTTAAGTCAGATTGGATCGTTCACACCTCCCATAAAAGAATGATTTTATGGACGAAACATTACGAAATCTACCTCCTGTTCTCACTATAAAAATCAATAGCTTTCGTTCACATATCCGAATTACCTTTAGTTCTGTCCTGCCGCCAACACTCTCCAACACACACCAGTAATTGAGACCAAAGTTTGTTGTATTTTAAAAGTTTCAGAAGTTTTTAAAAGTTTGGAGAGTTTTTTGTTTTTAAGTTTTAATTCCGGCTGTGTTTTGGGTGTGAGAAGAACCGGATAGAATTCTAATTTAATGAACTGATTTACTGTTTTGTTTTTCGATGTGAAGTGGTGAGATACATACATACATACATACATACATACATACATACATACATACATACATACATACACAGTATTATTATTATTATTAGTAGGTTGAAAGTTATATTTATTCAGTAAAATTGTCATATTAGTTCACATTGATTCAGTATATAGGTAGACAGTACAGGGATACAAACAATGTGTACATAGACTCTAGGTGCACAAACAATATACATGTAAACAATATAGATACACAGGAAGAGTAAACAGTTCTTCAGCTGAGCCAAGGACAAGCCCGCCGAGCCATCACGTTGCTTATTACCAGGAGGAGCCATGTGCACTCTTGGTCGGGATTGGATGTAATGAAACTTGGCTGGAGGACATTTTACGTGGTCGATGCCCTTGTGGTGCCTCTGTCTACCCACCAGTAATTGGGGACCTGGATGTAAATAGATTTGTGTTCCGAGGTAATGGTTAGCCAGTGCAGTTAGCGAGTTGTCCGGTTCTCTCGGACTATTCCTTGACACTGGGACATGCAGCCCGTTAACTTAGGGTGTGGTTGTTGTGTTGGTGACAGCTTCTACACCTTAAGCAAATTCACGCCTGGGTGGTTCTTGGGGCGGCCATGCACGTTACATGAGGGGTAACCATTATTATTATTAGCTAAGAGAGAGAGAGAGACCACCTGATGTATACTGCACCATTCGAGACAAATCGAAAGCCAAAATGCCTCCTACCCTCTCACATTCTTCACTCTCTTCTACACTAACCTCGCACGGCTTATTCCTCCCTTAGAAAATAAACCAACAAAAAAAATATTAAACCCAAACATTTATATAAACATCAAACTGCCGTATCGAATATTTGTTTTTTGTTTTTTAGGTTTATATTTGTTGGGGTTTAACTGTACGTGTGTTTTTGTTCTTTTAGTTAAACCGACCCAAAACAAACGGAACTTCGAGGGCATTTTTTTTTGGGGGCCTGTGAGAATTGTTGCCCCCCCACCCGTCCCCAACCCCTCCCCAACCCCTCCCCAAACCCTCTCCGCCTCACTTCACACACACACACACACAATTGGTCTGGTTTCCCTGCCTTGTTGAGCTGAGAGCCAGTTATTGATCCTCTGCAGTGGTTGGGTACATTGAGGTAATTCTCTATGTATGTATGTATGTATGTATGTATGTATGTGTGTGTGTGTGTGTGTGTGTGTGTGTGTGTGTGTGTGTTGTTGTGTGTGTGTTGTGTGTGTGTGTGTGACATTTTTTCCTTGTATGCAAATTCACTTGTTGAACCACTGAGAGCTAATGGTGTGTGTCTTTTTATCTGCGGGGTTAATGTTGTATTAGTGTGTGTGTGTCCTATCTCCTTCCTTCCTTCCTTCCTCCTCCCCCCCCTTCCTTCCTTCCTTCCTTCCTCCTTCCTTCCTTCCTTCCTTCCTCCTCCTTCCTCCCCTTCCTAACAATTCCGTCATTGCATTTCGCTGTCAGTGTTCTCCCCATTATATAAACATCCCCCTCCTTCACCTCTTTCCCTCCCCCACCATCTCTTCCTCCTCTTCCCTCTCTTCCCTTCCCTATCCAGTCACTTCACAACTCCCCCCCATCATTGTCACCTCCCCCCTCCTCCCCTTCCCCTTAATTAACGATGGCACACTCACCTGACACACCTGTAGTTAAGGCCAACAGGTTAAGAGGGGGGATAAAGGTGGGCCATGTCCCTCCTCGCTCCATTATACAGGGCCATGGCACCATAATTCTCCCTTTTAATGGCACTGAATACAGACTACACTCCTCTGCGGCACAATAAAATCCATGGCACCATAATTCTACGTTTTAATGGCACTGAATACAAGCTACACTCCTCTGCGCCAATAAAAGTCCGTGGCACCATAATTCTGGGTTTTAATGGCACTCAATAGCGAATTTACTCCGTCGCGCCATAATAAAGTTTCCAGTGCCACGTCTATGTACAAGATGACATGAATCTCCAGTAATACAACAGTTATAGGACCTCTGTCATGTTATCTCATATTGGAAGTTGTTGTGAGGGGGAGGGGAGGGTGGAGGGGAGGAGAGAAGGATGTGGGGGAGGGGATGGGGAGGAGAGAGGAGCGGAGGGGGAGGAGGGAGAAGACGCCAGGTGCTGGGGTGATGATGCTGTTAACGTTGAAATTGGTTGTGAACTTGAGAGGTGGAGGAGAGATTACTACTTTAGATGGTTGTTGGAGAGAATGGTGGAGGTGGTGTTATTGTTGGAGAGAATGGTGGAGGTGGTGTTATTGTTGGGGAGAGTGGTGGTGGTGTGTTATGTTGGAGAGAGTGGTGGTGGTGTTATTGTTGAGAAGAATGGTGGAGGTGGTGTTATTGTTGGGAAGATGGTGGTGTTATTGTTGGAGAGAATGGTGGAGGTGGTGTTATTGTTGGAGAGAATGGTGGAGGTGGTGTTATTGTTGAGAGGATTTAATGCCACACGGACTGTAAAGGTGTGTGTGTGTGTGTGTGTGTGTGTGGCGGGCGGCGTGGTCGTGGTCGCTGCACACTACCACACCTGCATTAACACTACCTGATGAACGAGAGACCCCGCCCATCCCATTCCTATAATGCCTCCTTGCACCTCCCTTGCACCTCCCATGACCTCCCCCCCTCCCATGACCCTCCCCATGTACCCATGTACCCTCCCATGTACCCCATGTACCCTCCCCCACCCTCCTTGTACCCTCCCATGCCCCTCCCATGTACCCTCCCTTGTACCCCCATACCCTCCCCATACCCCCCATGTGCCCCTCCATGCACCTCCCATGCACCCCTTGTACCCTTGTACCCTCCCTTGCCCCCCTCCCATGTACCCTCCCCTTGTACCCTCCCATGTACCCTCCCATGCACCTCCCATGTACCCTCCCATGTACCCCTCCCATGTACCCTCCCTTGTACCCTCCCCTTGTACCCTCCTTGTACCCCCCCTCCCATGTACCCCATGCACCTCCATGCACCCTCCCATGTACCCTCCCCATGTGTACCCTCCCCTTGCACCTCCCATGCACCTCCCCATGCCCTCCCATGTACCCTCCCAACACCCTCCCTGTACCCTCCCATGCACCCTCCCTTGTACCCCATGCCCTCCCTGCACCCCTCCCTGTACCCTCCCCATGTACCTTGTACCCTCCATGTACCCCCACCCCTCCCATGCACCCTCCCATGTGCCCTCCCTTGTACCCTCCTTGTACCCCTTCCCATGTACCCTCCCTTGTACCCTCCCATGTACCCTCCCCATGTACCCCCTCCCATGCACCCCCTCCCATTACCCCTCCCATGTACCCCATGTACCCTCCCATGCACCCTCCCATGTACCCCATGTACCCCATGTACCCTCCCTTATACCCTTGTACCCTCCCATGTACCCTCCATGTACCCTCCCATGTACCCTCCCATGTACCCCTCCCTTGTACCCCCTTGTCCTCCCACCCCCTCCCATGTACCCCTCCCTTGCACCCCCCACTTGTACCCTCCCATGTATTCCCATGTACCCTCCCCATGTACCCTCCCATGTACCCCATCCCATGTACCCTCCCATGTACCCATACCCTCCCATGTACCTCCCATGCCCCCATCCCATGTACCCTCCCATGCACCCTCCCATGCACTCCATGCACCCTCCCATGTACCCTCCCATGTACCCCCTCCCATACCCTCCCATGTACCTCCCATGTACCCTCCCCTTGTACCTCCTTGTACCCTCACAACACCCAGGCTGTTAGTGGCCACAGTATTACGGTCTTATTGTGTTAAATGTCAAGGTGTTTACCACAATGTTTATGTGTGTTTTCTAGACCCAAAACACCATTTAAAAATCTCCCAATGTTTACTCACACTAAACACATTTAAAACCTATAGAATGACCTTTATTTACACTCTGTGACCTAATGTTTGGGGGTCATAGCTGGGTGTAGGTGTTGACCCCCTCTGTGTTGACTCCTTGTTGTTGACTCCTCGGTGTTGACCTCTTGTTGTTGACTCCTCGGTGTTGACCTCTTGTTGTTGACTCCTCGGTGTTGACCTCTTGTTGTTGACCCCTCAGTGTTGACCTCTTGTTGACCCCTTGTTGTTGACCTCAGTGTTGACCTCTTGTTGTTGACCCTAGTGTTGACCCCTTGTTGTTGACCCCTCAGTGTTGACCTCCCGTTATAATGGCTCTTGTCTTATGTCACGACACAAATGATTTTACTCGTAGTCTTCATCAGTGTGTTGTGTTGTGGTTTTCATAACACGAGCATGGAGAACTAGGCAGCGTGATGAGGGTAGAAGTTTAGATAAAGATAGATAGATAATTAGTTAGATAGATAGAGACGGTATACAGATAGATAATTAGTTAGATAGATAGAGACTGTATACACTGTTGGTAGTGTTGGGGTAACTTGGATAAACTGATTTTTTGTGTTTCTTGTAATCAACACAGTTACCTATTCAACTATATATATTTATCCACATATCTATCCATCTCTACACTTTTTACACTCCCCGTCCTATCCACCTGTATGTTCTCACACACACACACACACACACACACACACACACACACACACACACACACACACACACACACACACACACACATGGTCAGATGCATACATGCCACACCTGCTTTTGAAAAGATTGACGAGTTTGTTGTTGTTTCAGGAGCTGGAGGACATTGAGGATCGCCTACGGGAGGAGAGTCATGAGCTGGTGGAGATGGTCTCACGCCTTCAGGACGAGAACCGCAAGTTGTCCTCTTCTTTGGCCAAGACTGAGGGCACCATCATCCACTCTAACGGTCAGTCTTACAGTCTTTATTCCCTGTTAGACTATGTGGGAGGGGTGAGGAAATAGGCATGGAGGGGATCAAGAGGAAGGAGAGAAGAGGAGGGGAGGAGGTCTTTGTTAACCAAGACTAAGGGTACCATCATCCACTCAAACAGTCACTCTTATCCCCTCTTAGACTGTATGGGGTCTTGGTTGGATGTGGAAAGGGTGTTATCCAGTTACCCCTTGTACTAACACTGGATAATATAGGTCATAACAATGTAACACAGAACAGACCAGCCTCCTGAGTGGCTAGTAAGCTGAGCCTCCTGAGTGGCTAGTAAGCTGAGTCTCCTGAGTGGCTAGTAAGCTGATCAGTGGTGGGGTGATGAAATAAAGAGATACTGATTCCTCCCTAGTTCCCAAAGTTTGATATGGGTAGAATACAAACATATATTCATTGTGACAGCGTGGATAGGCTGGAGGGCTGTGACAAAGGGTAGGAGGAGCGTCAGTTTATACAGTATCTTCGTGTTAAAAAGTGATACCGAGTTCAGAATTAAATCATTTCATATCTTTAGATCATTTGGGATTGACAGTATTAGTATTTAGATCATTTAGAATATTAGATGTACTCTATGAGCTCATGTGTGGTAATGGCAGTGTATTATGACTTACAGGGGCAACGCCAGAGGTGGACCTGAAGGTGGTGATGCGCCTGCAGGAAGTGATCGAGGCCCAGCGAGAACAACTTCACAAGACAGAGAAAGATTGTCACCTCAAGACAACTGAACTGGAAAATGTTTGTGATATTTTTATTCTTTTATATGTATGGTATAGTACAGTATGGTACAGTACAGTATGATACAGTATGGTACAGTACAGTACAGTATGGTACAGTGCAGTATGGTACAGTACAGTACAGTATGGTACAGTGCAGTGCAGTATGGTACAGTGCAGTATGGTACAGTACAGTACAGTATGGTACAGTGCAGTACAGTATGGTACAGTACAGTACAGTATGGTACAGTGCAGTATGATACAGAATGGTACAGTACAGTACAGTATGGTACAGTACAGTACAGTATAGTACAGTACAGTATAGTACAGTACAGTATGGTACAGTACAGTACAGTATGGTACAGTACAGTATGATACAGTATGGTACAGTACAGTATGGTACAGTACAGTATAGTATAGTACAGTATGGTACAGTACAGTATGGTACAGTACAGTACAGTATGGTACAGTACAGTATGGTACAGTACAGTACAATATGGTACAGTACAGTACAGTATGGTACAGTACAGTACAGTATGGTACAGTACAGTATAGTACAGTACAGTATGGTACAGTATGGTACAGTACAGTATGGTACAGTACAGTACAGTATGGTATAGTACAGTCAACAACAAAATTTTCTGCACCTTTATGGTGTTATACAATATGACACTCATTTACGCGGGTGATTCCTGTTAATTTCTCTGTATTAACTAAATGTGATATAAAAAATACATCATACTGGTTATACAATGCATCACACAACCAGAAATACCAACCATACCAAATTAATATGGCCTCAATCAGTGATCGTTGCAGAGGCCACCAGACCTACAGGTGCAGAACGTTTGTTTGCTGACTGTACAGTACAATACAGGCATCCCTTGATTTACAAAAGGGATCCTTTCCTGAAAAAAATGTAAAGTAAATATAAAATTTCAAAAGTTGCATCTTGGTAATTTATTTATTTTATTTATTTTTTTTATTTTTGATTGAATATTTGTAAATTGATGGATGCCTGTATGATGTCAGGATTTGGTGATAGTTACAGGTGTAATACACTACAGTACAGTATGGTATATTTCTTGCTCATGATGTTTCTTCCAGATTTTAGCTAAATGTTTCAATTAAAAATATCATGTGTAAGTGAGGTTGATTAAAAGTGTTGGCATTAATCATTACATAAACCTCATGGTGTTCACTACCCTACAGCCAGCACTAGATGGAAGCTTTGCCAACATGATGCATTACCATAGTTTCATGTTAGTACAGCTTCCATTCCTCATCTTGCCTTTCCCTGTTTCCCATTTTTCTTGTCTCTTCATTCTTACTTAATCTCCTCTCTCTCTATACAGTTCATATGTACTTCCTTTACATATCTACACCTATTCTTTGTTTCCTCCATGACTAAACAAAACTACCAGAAGCTCTAAAAATATTTTCCCTTTTATATACTTTCAGTTAAGGTCTCAGTTAGAAAAGGTGAACCATGTCAATCGGGAGTTACGTCGGAGGCAACGGACCAACGCCTCACAGATGCGATCACTGATTGACGAGAGGGCAGAACTCCAGGCGGCCCTGCAGGAAGAAACCCGAACAGTGACTGTGTTGAGGCAGCGGCTGGGATTAGCACAAAAGGAAAATGAGGATCTAGCTTGTTCCAGTGTGAGTATTGGCACACCCTCGATACTGATGAGCATTGTATGTGTGTCTTATGTTGTTCAAATGTGAAAGGTAAGCTTTTGATCCTGTTTGATATCTCATGTTTTCTAAATGTGAAATGCCATACTAACAAGTTTCTCTGTAATATTTTCAAGTTAAAGTAGGTAGGTAGTTCAGTCAGTGTTAAATTCAAATATTTTTCAAATGTGATGTTCATTGTAATATACTGTACAGTGGGGATTGAAGGGACTTCAGCTCCCATCTCTTTTAACCACTCATGGCCGAAGGGAAAATACCAATACTGTTTCCTTATTTCAGATTGAGGTTTATGTAGGTGGTTGAGAACCACTACTGTCCCCCCCCCCCTCCCCTATTCAAAAACCTTCTTATCTACCATTGGTAATACTGTACAGTATATGAGTTTAAATGAAAGGGACCATAACTTCATTATTGTTTTTTTGCAGTGGACCCTGTCTTCTACAAATTACAAATCCCTCCTCTCTTGTAAGGGCAAAATATATTGAGCATGTTGTTGGAGATGTTACTTAAGATACAGTACTGTATTCTTCTAAAATTGTGTTATATATAATTCATTGTTAGCTTATAAGTACAATAATAAGGAAGTCATGTATTGCATGTTAATAAACTTTTTTATCATAACTTTTCAGAGTGATAGTCCGGACTTAACAAACAAGTTGGTGTTTGATCGCGATGACCCAAATCGACCTCGCTTCACAATGACCGAGCTCAAAGAGATCCTCTACGAACGCAACGAACTCAAAGCCCGTGTGTCTGATCTGGAAGATGAACTGGAAATGTACAGGCCCAAGGACGAGCGACAGTACGTAGTGCGCGAAAGTCTTTTTCATTCTGCATGCAACGTGTGTGCCATAGTGACTCTGATTCAGCTGACCCTATTTGTTGCCCGGCTGATCCTTGCATGCCTGGCAGTGACCCATAAGCCATAAGAGTGCATTTAGGATGGACCAGGATGAGTAGCGCTTGCCTTCTGGGAAAATTATTAGCTGAATTTCTTAGAATTATAGATTAGAACTGCTTCCAAGACTACTGAAGGGAACCAGTAAGTCTGAAGGACCAATGAAAAAAAACAAAAACACCACTTGGATAAAAAATTAAAAACAAAACCCAATTTTGTCAATGAACCTTTTGTACTACAAAGTCTCATGAAAAATTATAGTTTTATATCTTAAAGTGATGTTTTAACCATGGTCCAGGTTTATCTTGCGTTGTCTCATATACCTGAGCTAGATGCAAAAAATTTGGGGACCAGGCTTAGATGCTGCGAGGCTAACGCATATTAATAAACATTTCGTTGTGCCACATTGTTACTGTAGGTTGTATACCGAGGATGTGATAAAGCTCGAGCAGCTCATTTTCATAGTGCCTTACTGTACAATTAAGGGGAGACCTCCTATATTAAGTGCCAATCATTGTTGTTATTGTAATATGTGGATGCTCTATTTTTATGTTTTAATGACTTTTATCTATTATATATTATTGTATTTAAATATAAATTAACAAGATGCTAATACTAGTCTAAGTCAATATAGTTTAACACTTATTGACAAAACCCGTCCGTTTTTATTACTCACATAAACTAGTGGTCACGTGTGGCTAAGTGGGGCCGGGGGAGGCACTGTACCAGGGGTAAGCAAGAGCCGTGTCTCGTAGCATTTACATTTTTGGGTTGAATAAAAAATTGGAAAAATTTTCCATTGCTGCAGCCACAACTGTTATATGTTTTTACCTCTCAGGTATTTTAATTGTTGCCTTGAAAGCTTGAAACTCCTATAAGCTTAATGCTAATATCACAAAAGAGGTCTTGCAATAATTTATGTAGGTATAATATATTTGGCCAAGAAAATGTGTTGCACATTTTTGCTCCAGTTCGTCCATAAAGTATACTGTAGTTGCAGAAGGGCTTTACCTATTGGTAATGTATATAGAGTGTATATACAGTATTATGCTTCTCTGTAAAAAATGTTCCAAATCCTGTTAGCTCAGTTAGTCGTAATATTTGCCCTTGAAGTGTAGTGTTACACGGGATATTTACCAGTGCGAGATAAAGGATCCAACCTTTCTTAGATAAGTTTGTACACAACAGTACTGTACTGTTAGAGATGGGTCACTCACAGGTGATTCTTATGACCTTCCTCGTCATTGCACTGTAGTGTGAAGCTCTGGGACTCTTGCCTTTATCTTTAATATGAGACTTCCAGCATTAGTGGCATAGTTTGGTAGTCTGGCTTGCTTCATCAAGTAGAGTGATTAAAAGTTTGTCGATGCTCATCAGTTATTATGCTTTACATTAGTCATTTATCTGGCTAAGTTTAAGAATGGAAATGACAATAATTAGAGTTAACCAAGTGCAATATGTATGATATAATGCTGTAATAGCAGTACTGTAGTTGATCGTCCAGTTTCCTAAAGTAGGACATTAAGTGTTAACTTAATATTGGCCTATTATACAAATTAATAACTCGGGCATGTCAGTACATCTTATACTGACAAAGTTTTCCAGTTCCTCTGATCAACATAGGTCTTTGTGCATTTTTATTAATTTTGTCAGTCTATTTATCTGTCCTATTTACTCCTGTCCTCTTGTATGGGATGGATCGTGGGACACACAAACACCAGAGAAGGGGGAATATGATATGATAGTGAAGAAGGTATAGAGAGGTCCAGGGAAGGTCCTAAGTTTCAAGTAAGAATGTTCTGTGAATACTTCCTCATATCTTTAAATAGTAAACATAGTATAAAAAGTGAGTTCTTAATCTCCAGGGTGATTTTGCACTGTTTCATGTTGATTGACAATGCCAATTAATCTGAATCTTCACCCAAGTGGAATTATTCGTAGGCTAAATTATCAATTCTGGAAAGTGACTACTGTACCGGTAATTGACCTTGCAAGAAATGTCCTCCTGTACCCTGTAGTAGCAAAATAAGAAAAATATATTGAAGTGGGATCATAGATAATTATATACATAGGTGCAGGACATATATTTATAATGGGCTTTTCATCTCTCATATTAAAATGTTTAGGAGGACAAGTTAACTGTTGCTGTCCATCCAACTGTTTGGCTTTAGACAAGTGGTCTCCACATGTTGCAACCAAACTTCACACATGAGCTCTTCATACACAGTTGATGAACCGTATAGACTATGGTCTTGGTCTGGGTGATCAACCATTTCTCTAATGGGTCTAGTTTCGAGGGTTGTGCTGAGGGAATTGTTTATGCCATTGAGACACTGACTGAAGGTCTACAGTTCACCTCCTCAGATAAACTGGCACTTTTTCACACATTGACTGGGTTGACTTTCTAGGGGGGGCGGGGGGGCGTCTCTTGATCAGGAAAATACTGCCCGGGACAAGCTCAAACTCAAGAAAGAGACCTCATTTAAATAGACTATAATTAGAATGAAATTCAGGCTTTCTTGCTCAATTACTCTAAATTAGGTTTAACAATAATAGCTGTGTGCTACATACCTCCCTCAGCCTCACGCCACCATCCAGCTGTTTTCTCTTGATACCAATTTTGATTGTGAAATTCCTGTTCCATCCTTAGCTGACCTACCAAGTGCTACTCTGCCACATGTTAAGACTCATTACATTGGGGATTGCTGATACTTGTCAGCTTCTTGCCATATTATAGAACTCTATACGCTATGTTTGGTGTGATTCTGTGGGTGCTACATACAGTAAACTAATCGTGTTTACATCATAAAGGAATACTGTCTTGGGTAGATTTTTAAGAGATTCATACTGCAGATTCCAAACTTCAGAATTGGACAGTTCTAAAAGATGGCTCACTGCCCCCCATGTAAGGTCACTTTGGGTGTTGTTCAAGTTTGGTTGAAGAAACTGTGATTCCCAAAAGCTTGAAATAGCAATTTTACATATTTTGTGTTTTGAGTATTAATCAATTCTTATTATTGGAGAAAAAAACAGGTTTCTAAATCCAGCTTGAACTAGGTGGCAGCTGGGACGGAGTTAAATTGTTGTAGTTCTGTTTGAGGTAGTTAAGACCTTGTTGACATAAGTAGAAAAAAATTTCATCATCAACTACATTAATATAAAGTCAAAACCTCCCCTAAAGACTTTATACAATTCATTACCACATAAAATAATTAACTAATAAACTATTCCACTGATGAAATTGTTACTAAGATAAATTTTTATACAGGTATATTCAAATTTTCCAAGTGTTAATACCTCTCTGTGTCAGCTAAGAACTAGTTGACTGAACGTGTTGCCATTGTCACACAAGGTCTTTACAAAATTGACTATAGATTTTTATAGTTTTTTTTATCAATTTTAATATTAGTCATTAAGATTGTTGGAGGAGAGCCACCTGAAGTTGTGTTCCTGGGGGCTGGTGACCATGATAGTAGTTGCCATATTGTCTGTGTGATACAATACAAAGCATGGATTGTTGTGTAGTTTGTTTCCCCTCCTATCCTCGTATGTATCACCCACTTACATGTATCACCCACTTACATGTATCACCCACTTACATGTATCAGCCACTCATAACATGTATCAGCCACTCATAACATGTATCAGCCACTCATAACATGTATCAGCCACTTACATGTATCAGCCACTCATACATATATCAGCCACTCATAACATGTATCATCCACTTACATGTATCAGCCACTCATACATGTATCAGCCACTCACATGTATCAGCCACTCATACATGTATCATCCACTCATACATGTATCATCCACTCATACATGTATCATCCACTCATACGTGTATCAGCTATCAATCTCCTTAGCACTGTGCATTGATTACCTGTATCCTGCAAGAATCCCCGTAAAGACGTTAACCTCTGGTACAGTATTTTTGTATCATTAGTACAGTACAGTATTTATGTATCATTAGTACAGTACAGTATTTATGTATCATTAGTACAGTACAGTATTTATGTATCATTAGTACAGTACAGTATTTATGTATCATTAGTATGGTACAGTATTTATGTATCATTAGTACAGTACAGTATTTATGTATCATTAGTATGGTACAGTATTTATGTATCATTAGTACAGTACCTGGTCATGTGTTGTACTCTGGAGTATTTGTAAGATATCCTGTACCTGTAGTTTAAAGTAATTATACAGTACAGGTAGTTATATTATACAGTAATACCCCGATTTACGCGGTCAATTGAACATGCGGAGGTCCGCGTAAAACGAGAAACGCGTAAATGGAATAACAGAACATATGGGATTAATTGAGATAGAGACTGGCCCGACCCCCCAACTCCACTTTTTCCGACACAATACCTATGTTGTAGTAAAAATAACATCTTAATTTTATGATGGTATGCACACACAATTAATGTTTAAGAGAAATACAGTCGCCAGGTTAATGTCCATTCAAATAATGGACTCAACTCCCCCCCTTCTTCCCATGCTCACTGGCTTCTCCCTCTCTGAGAAATGTTTGGGTGAAAACACCAGATTTTACGGTATAGTAATAACTAATACCTACGACTAAAGTTAGGATAATATAATTGACATTGCTGGATTCCTTGCAAGACCAGGAATATTTTGAATATACACGTCATATATATTGCACAAAAGATAACACATTTGCTCTGTGTAAACAAAATTCTTACATTAGATCTAAAATTTGTATGTCTAATGCAAAATCCATGATGTTTATATTTAAAATGATCATCATATTGTAAGAATTCCAGCAATGTAAATTATATTCTGGCCAGGTAATTTGTATGAATTTTATGAGCTAAATAAAAAAATTATACTTCACCCGCGTATATGAGTAGATGCACCGCGTAAATTGGGCATTCCGGTTCTGGCGGGGACCGCGTAGATGTGGAAACGCGTAAACCGAGGTATTACTGTACAGTACAGGTAGTTATTATACAGTACAGGTATTATACAGTACAGGTAGTTATTATACAGTACAGGTAGTTATTATACAGTACAGGTAGTTATTATACAGTACAGGTAGTTATTATACAGTACAGGTAGTTATTTAAAAGACTTGAGTTAATGAAGATTTTAATGAGGATATTTATTTGTTTTAATTATAGTACAGTAGTAGGTTAGGTTATGGACCAACATTTACATGTATCAGTTTATTTGTTTCATGATTGTAGATGTATTAGTTGATCTTGCATGTATCAGCTGCTTTTATATGTATCAGTCAATCTTTCATGGATCAGCTGCCCATACATGTATCAACCACTCATACATGTATCACTTGCTCTTACATGTATCAATCACTCATACAGTATCAACCAATCTTACATGTATCAGCTGCTCTTACATGTATCACCTACTCTTACACGTATCACCTACTCTTACATGTATCACCTACTCTTACATGTATCACCTACTCTTACATGTGTCACCTACTCTTACATGTGTCACCTACTCTTACATGTATCACCTACTCTTACATGTATCACCTACTCTTACATGTATCACCTACTCTTACATGTATCACCTACTCTTACATGTATCACCTACTCTTACATGTATCACCTACTCTTACATGTATCACCTACTCTTACACGTATCACCTACTCTTACATGTATCACCTACTCTTACATGTATCACCTACTCTTACATGTATCACCTACTCTTACATGTATCACCTACTCTTACATGTATCACCTACTCTTACACACCTACTCTTACGTATCACCTACTCTTACATGTATCACCTACTCTTACATGTATCACCTACTCTTACATGTATCACCTACTCTTACATGTATCACCTACTCTTACATGTATCACCTACTCTTACATGTATCACCTACTCTTACACCTACTCTTACACGTATCACCTACTCTTACATGTATCACCTACTCTTACATGTATCACCTACTCTTACATGTATCACCTACTCTTACATGTATCACCTACTCTTACATGTATCACCTACTCTTACATGTATCACCTACTCTTACATGTGTCACCTACTCTTACATGTGTCACCTACTCTTACATGTGTCACCTACTCTTACATGTATCACCTACTCTTACATGTGTCACCTACTCTTACATGTATCACCTACTCTTACATGTATCACCTACTCTTACATGTATCACCTACTCTTACATGTATCACCTCATCTTACACGTATCACTCACTCATACATGTATCACCTACTCTTGCATGTATCACCTACTCTTACATGTATCACCTACTCTTACATGTATCACCTACTCTTACATGTATCACCTCACTTACTATCACACTCATACATGTATCACCTACTCTTACATGTATCACCTACTCTTACATGTATCACCTACTCTTACACGTATCACCTACTCTTACATGTATCACCTACTCTTACATGTATCACCTACTCTTACATGTATCACCTACTCTTACATGTATCAACTATATAAACCATAGATCATAGGAAAAGGTTCAATATCCATTCCTATTACCTAGACAAAGCTCGAATCAGTTTTATAAGACCATCACAAGGTAGTGTAGAGCTAGGTGTGTAGTGTAGTGACTTTAGGAGGTTCAGTATCACAACACGTCTCCCCGGGTCCCAGCTCTTGTTTGAGATAAGGGGAAATATGTATGGTAGGTTTCCTGTAGTTCTGTCCCCGTCGTCCCCCTTCCCCCGTACTGTAGAGGGTCATTTTTAACGATACACTGTTAATGTTTGTCTGAGTTTGGTAAAGTTCTTTTATTTGTTAGTTGAAGTCATTTAAGTTTTGATTTATAATGTAATTAGTCTTATAGCTGCTGCACTTTCAGAATGTTGATACAGTACAAGAATTATCACAGAATGAATGTCTTGTATAAAGGCCAGTTATGCCTCTACCACCATCCCTAGTATTTGAATTTTTATCGAAGGTTATCACCATGCATTAATATTCTTATTCTGAACTGTTGCTAAATTAAAAAATCATGAAAATCAGTGCACAAACAGTCTGGATTATTCATATCATTTGTTCTCAGTTTTTGCCTGTGTGTTATAGTCCATATAACAAATGGTACATAATTGTGATATTAAGGTTTACTGTAATTAATACTATTTTTGATTGATCATGGTTAGGTTTACCCCACAAGTGAAAATCTCTCTCTCCATTGTTATTGTAGCATAAGTAAATTTATCAGTCCAGTCCAGTGTAACTCGAGACACGAAGTACAATATTCAGTCTTACTTGTCGACTGATTTTATGTGATTTAAAATTTTCCGACGGGTTGATAACTTTGATTAGGATGGTAAAAATAGTTAATTCCACGGTGATCATCTTTTAAGGGAGCTAACACAGGAAAAAATATTCGGTACATTGGAAAGAGTTAGGCAAGTCCGTAGTCCTACAGCCAAGAGACCACAGTATCACCCAGCAGGTTCTGTAAACACAACCATCAGTGACAACCACACAGTGAAACACTATAGTGTCCATATAAAGTACAGTACCTATTATTGCAGTGTTTATAATATGGAAAACAAGGAATAATGAGATCACTTTAATTGTACTATTCTGTGTTATTTTGTATTAGTTAGAAAATACGTTTTTTTTCCTCTTCAATCTTCCTATGGTGAGTATCCTGATGTGCTTTGATATATTTACTAATTAATTTATGCTATATATATATATATATATATATATATATATATATATATATATATATATATATATATATATATATATATATATATATATATATATATATATATATATATATATATATATATATATATATGTGTGTGTGTGTGTGTAAATATATGTATACAGTATACAAGTATATGTATTTGTTGCATGGAAGTAGTTTAAGTTTAGGCAGTGATGAATACTGTACTTACCAAGAGTGAGTTGAGGTGTGCAGGGTAAACAAGTTGTCATCCTCCAACCATTGTCTTTCTTGGTTGGAGTTGTACAGCATCCAGGGTCTACTTAACTTGAGTACATTATATTAGGATTTACTTCACTTAGCTATCATGATTTATTTAACTATTAGGAGTTACTTCACATAATTATCATGACTTCTTTCACGTAACAATATTATGATTTACTTCACTTAAATATTAGGATTTACTCATATACTTCACTTAAATATTAGGATTTACTCATTTACTTCACTTGAGGATTAGTTTAGTACTATATACAAGTACTTCCAAGACATCGGGCTCTCTTTGGCCAATGACAAATTTGTTGTTAACATGTAATCAGATTAACAGTTCAGTACCTTAAGAGTGTCAGTCAGTGTGGATCTTGTAACTGGTGTAATCAATTTATCAAAACTATTAACACTTAAAGAAAACATTGACAAGAATGGGAAAATTAATGGTAAAGTTTCCTGTAATTAATAATCATAAGTACAGTAGTTATTTGGTTGATTAATTTGGTTAGAGTAGTACAGTACAGTATATTAATTATCAAGTCTTGTCCAGGTGCAGTGTGTGTGTGTGTGTGTGTGTGCGTGCGTGCGTGCGTGCGTGCGTGCGTGCGTGCGTGTCAACATAGTACTAGGATGGGGTTCTTGATTGGTGTGTGTTGATGCACTGTACTGTGCTGTACTGTACTGTGCTGTGCTGTACTGTACTGTGCTGTACTGTACTGTACTGTACTGTGCTGCAATGTATTGTGCTGTACTGTGCTGTACTGTACTGTGCTGTGCTGTACTGTACTGTACTGTACTGCACTGCACTGCACTGCACTGCACTGCACTGCACTGCACTGTACTGTGCTGCACTGTACTGTACTGTACTGTACTGTACTGTACTGTACTGTACTGTACTGTGCTGTGCTGTACTGTGCTGTACTGTACTGTGCAGTGCTTTGCTGTACTGCAATGTACTGTGCTGTACTGTGCTGTACTGCACTGTACTGTGCTGTACTGCACTGTACTGTGCTGTACTGTACTGTACTGTGCTGTGCTGTGCTGCACTGTACTGTGCTATACTACACTGTGCTGTACTGTACTGTACTGTACTGTACTGTACTGTACTGTACTGTACTGTACTGTACTGTACTGTACTATATTATGCTATGCTATACTATACTATACTATACTATACTGTACTGTACTGTACTGTACTGTACTGTACTGTACTGTACTGTACTGTACTGTACTGTACTGTACTGAACTATACTATACTGTACTACTGTATACTATACTGTACTGTACTGTACTGTACTGTACTGTACTGTACTGTACTGTACTGTACTGTACTGTACTGTACTGAACTATACTATACTGTACTACTGTATACTATACTATACTGTACTATACTATACTGTACTGTACTGTACTATACTGTACTGTACTGTACTGAACTATACTATACTGTACTACTGTATACTGTACTGTACTGTACTGTACTGTACTGTACTGTACTGTACTGTATTGGGTAATTCTGTTAACATTATATGGACTACATTGCATTTATAGTTTGATGTTTTGTGTACATAATCTTGGCATTTTTCATCAACTGTTGTGTTCAGTCTCGACTACAGCAAGCAACCTTTTAAACTATTGTTATACTGTACTATGACACCAATCGGAAATATATCCAAGTCCTTTATGATACACATACATACATACATAATGGTTGAACCTCATGTAATGAGGATGGCCGGCACAAGGGTCACCCAGGCGTGAATTTGTTTAAGGTGTAGAAGCTGTCACCAACACAACAACCACACCCTGAGTTGACGAGTTGCATGACCCAGTGTCAAGGAATAGTCCAAGAAGACCGGACAACTCGTCAACTGCACTGGCTAACCATTACCCCGGAACACGATCCGCAAATCGATTAACATCCAGGTCCCCAATTACTGCTGGGTAGACAGAGGCAAATGGCAATAAGAAACTTGCCCATAGTTTCACCCTGCCCGAGGATCGAACCCGGGTCTGCTCGCTTGGGAGGCGAGTATGCAGACCATTACGCCACAGGATGCCTGCATACATACATACAGTACAAGGTACATACATACATGCATGCATACATATATACATACATACATACATACATACATACATACATGCATACATACATACATACATACATACATACATACATACATACATACATACATACATACATACACACTACATACATACAGTATACTGTATATATATTTTCAGCCTAAGTGTATGCTTGTATTTCTGGAAGAAGCAGAGGAGGTGTACCATACCATTATTGGCTTGTAGTAATGTGTAGTGGGTGTGTTGTTAGGGCCACTCTCTCTCTACACTTGTTTCTACTTATTCAGGTAATATTTATACATTTTATTAGTAATATTTTAAATTTGAAAACCAAATTCATGACACACTACCTTGATGCAGTGAAGAAGAGACATCTCAAAAATTTCATGAAATAATTCAGCATGTAATATGCATGTAAAGGCAACAGACCGCTGGAGTCTGTCCTCAGATGCATGTTTTATTTTCTGTGATCCATCGGTACAGTATGCGTTTGTTTACTCTTGTAAGCCTTCTGCGGCCCCATTATAAAGGCCAAGATCAAGAACAACTTCATGATCCTCCTTATTGTAAATCTGATTCTTTCTAGTTACAGTACCTCACCAGCATTAGTGTTCAAGGGTGTTGCTGTACTTCTGGATGGATCTCAGATAAATGCAACGTGTTTTTCTTGCATTTTATAGTCTTACACTCTCTAGCAAGGAGTGTTTGCATGACAGATATATCCAGATTAACTAAATAAAACATTCTGGATGTCTGTTAAACAAATTGTATATAAGTTGGTCAAAATTTCTAGCAGCTGTATTGAAATTATGGCATGATTTTAGTTTGTATATTTTTAGAGCTAATGTGAATATGCAAAGAGGAAATGGCATGTTTAAGAATTAATTTACTCAGTAGTTCAAAGGGAAAAAAAATAAATCAACATTTAGCTTCCTACTTTTAATACTCATGGTGTAGAGAGTGCAGTCTGGTAGTGCTTTGTAATGACATGTTCCTGTATATCTTTGAACTTAGGTTAGTCATTTCAACATTATTTTCATCTAATAGTTTCACTTACTACATGACCTCAAGTTAATCACTGGATGTTGTCCTTTGCCATACCTCTATAAATGTTCCTAAGGCTTCCACATTACTGGATGAGGCCAATTTTTATTACCTAAAACAAATCCAGTTACATATAGGAGATGGATTTTTTATTAGTTCATATTTATTAGTAATTTCTTTTTCAGTATGATTAATTTTGTACTGAAGTTAACTTGTGTGGCTGTAGTGATGGCTTCCTGACGAGTGTACAGTTCGCTTCATAGAGGAGTTGATTGTGTTTACCAAGTTGATACAGAGAAGACAAGGTTGACCATTACATTGACAGATAATTTATATTTAACACATCAGGGAAACTTGTTTGATGTAGAACAAATTAACTAAGATAGCATATACTGCACTGCACTGTACTGTACTGTACTGTACTGTACTGTACTGTACTGTACTGTACTGTACTGTACTGTACTCTTTACTCTAAGCATCAAGTATTTTTAATATTGGACAAACCCTTGTATTGTTTACTATGTTTTTCATTTGATTTCTGAGTATTGGTGGTAACAGGATGAATGATTTAGTTGAGGGTTTCATATCTAATAAGCATTAGGATCTCAACCCTTGTAGTAAGGTGGGGGTTGATCAGGCTTTTATTCTGCCGTCTTGTGTACTGATCAGTGTCAGGGACCTGCCCTGAGCTAACTCTTTGCACCTGGGGTTGACATCCAACAAATTATGGGGAACAGCACAAAAGATAGCTTCTTTCTTACCTGACAACCTCCTTTAAATGGCTCTTGTAATAGCACTGACCAGACTTGGGTCTGGGAGAGTAGACGCAAGTCCTTGTACAGCAGGGGATTGATCTTACAGTTGGGCATCCAGTCCTGTTGTAAGTATCACCCATCTAAAGGAGATTGGAGGCAAAGGTTCCCCATGTGGAGAAAGAGGTATTGTGGAAGCTTTGTCAACCAATGTAGAATAACACACTGCAACTGATGGGCCAGCATTTTGATTTTTTTTTTCAATCCCTCAGTCTCTAGCTGATCTCAGTGGGGAGCATGTACAGTATTATCATTCCAGCTTTCATCTCTCCAGATAAGCTAAGTGTCTTATGAAACTGTAAGAGGTAGTTAAGTTTGTCATAGTTTCTGGAGTTATTAAGGTAAGAATATACAGTTACCTTTATCTCTGGTTTGTAATGATTGTTGGGTTACCAGTATTTACATATTTCTAGCCCCTTTAAGGTTAGGGCTGGGAAGCTAACCTTAGCACTGGTATCTGTGACCCAACTCTCTCAGTACCTTATTCCACCTTTTATGTGTAATTTTTGCATAAGGCTGCATCTAGTGATCCTGGTGTGAGCTGCCATTGATCTTACTTGATGGCCTCTATTGACTTTCTCCAGATGTGCATCAAGTTCCTTCTTTATTATTACAGAAGATGATAACTTGTCCTTGTTTGTGATTTTAGTAATAAATCAAAGTACTGTACTGTAACTCCTTCATGGAACTAAAAACAAGAAATATTGTTCTATTGTGGGAAATTTACAAAGAAGTATTCTTACTCATAGTGAAACTTTTATGTTCTGTTTCTGCAGTGTTTATAGCTGCAACTTTGGATGTTAAAGCCGATACTTTGTCTGTGGGTAAAATGTTGTTATCCAAATGGGCTTGCGTAAGTAAAGTGCATTACATGAAGCACAGTACTGTAACTGTAACTGAGTTTTTACAGTATAAATTATATCATAGCAAGTACAGGGGGTCCCCGGGTAACAAACCGGTTCCATTCCTGAGAATGTTCTCAAGTCAGATTTGTACGTAAGTCGTAACACATGCTATATGCATACCGTACTTGCAAAACATTGTTTAAAATCCCACTATATCATAGCCTATGTCCTGATATACATTTAAAATCACTTAATTTAAGAAAAAATATAAATAAAAATAGGACAAAATACAGTAAATGAAAATATGAAATAAGTCTTCAGGTAAATAAAATGCTGTAAATTTTGAGTTTAACCTTGTTTGTATCGGCGTTCGTTCGTAAGTCAGGGACCTCCTGTACAAGAAAACTGGGCCACTAAACACAGGGTGATGTGAGAGAGTGCTGGGAGGGGATTTTGTGTGGGAGGTGAGTCAATATTATCTCTGTATAACATGTTATGGAGGAAGAGCCAGAAGCTGTCACAACACATTTGGGCTGATGGTGTATAATTTATTCTCTTGAGTTTTGTTGTGGAAAAGTTGTATTTCTATTTAGAGGCCAGACTGTGGGGTAGTAATGTGCTCTGTGATGAAAAGGTACACTGTACAGTTGCCCACAAAAGTCCTGTCACCTCTCCTACTGAACCTTGAGCCCCGACAGTCAGACTCGTGAACCTGAGGCATTAGACACATACATTATTCTGTCCATAAATGCTTGGGGTTCACAAGTCTGAATCTTGGGTTTGTGGTTCAGGAGGAGAGGCATCTGGACTTTTGTGGGTGACTCTACATTGTAACTCTTGCTTTTAGTGGAAGCAGAAGTTTCATTTATGTTTAATCCCCCGCATGATGAGCATATTTATATAAAACATCCAGTGGGTTAATGTGTACTGTATTATAGATATTAGCTAGCATTTTGTTATTAGTGGGAGCGATTTGATGTGTTATGCTTGCCAAGAAATATTGGTGTTAATATTTTTAAACAAGATAAGTCGTAGTCTAGATAAGATTTTCTTCAATTCACTTTTTTTATTTTGAGAGAGAGAGAGAGAGAGAACTTTTATATACTTTTTACAGTGGAAGATGGAACATTCGGAGTTTTTCTTTTAAACCCTTGTCCAGTAAGGCCCGGACAGGTTGGTCAGTTATTAATATTTACTGTAGTTGCTTTATGCGGCAATTTCTGTTATGATATTGAGCACAGTAGCGTTATTTATAAAACCCTCTTATCATTACACTGCTACTCTGTGTAAAATGGTGACCTTTGTTAACATTGTATCCACTTGGTAGACGATGTTGTATGAGGTTGTTACTTAGAGCCTTGATGTAGGGAGAAGTGTGTGTGGTGTACAGTATACAGTACCTAGAAGCAGTGGTGTGGAGGTGTGGTGAGTGTGACGTGCCACTAGTGAGGTGTGTGTTGCTTGTCTTGTCAGGCGCAGCCACATAATCTGCCCCCCGGTAGAGATGGCGGAAGCAGAGGGGGGGCTCCAGCCTCCTACAGACCCCCTCACACCCCCCCTCTCTCTCTCCGACTCACTTTCCACCGAAATACAGTAAGCACATAATTTTCTTACTTTTTAACATTACAAGCACTCTTTACAAACTTTATATCATATATATATATATTTTTAACACTGAAATTACAATAATATTGTTTAAAAGCTTATAATTAATTTGACTACAACTAACATATCACTGGAGTGCTTATAATGGCTTATAGAAACAATAGAAAATTAAATTAAAGGGTACCGGTAAGTTTGATGAACCTTGCCCTTACCTAGAGACTAACTAATGCTTGGACTCAGACCTAGTTGTGGAACCTGACTTAACCCACCCCTCAACTAACCTCTCCCACAACTAACCTGTCCCTCACCTAACCTCCCCCTCAACTAACCTGTCCCTCACCTAACCTGTCCCTCAACTAACCTGTCCCTCAACTAACCTCTCCCTCAACTAACCTGTCCCTCACCTAACCTGTCCCTCAACTAACCTGTCCCTCAACTAACCTGTCCCTCAACTAACCTCTCCCTCAACTAACCTCTCCCTCACCTAACCTCCCCCTAAACTAACCTGTCCCTCACCTAACCTCCCCCTCACCTAACCTCCCCTCACCTAACAAAACCTAATTCATGGTTTTTGTGTGAACACTTTTCTCCAGTACTAGTTCTGCATCTGGGGATTAATTTGCCCTCTTGTTTTAATTTATTTATTTGTTTATATAATTTTATTTGGGATCAGATATGTTTGTTTTGGGACGGGCTGTACATGAGTCCACTGAATTCTCCTGATTCTGACATGTACCGTAATTCCAAGACTCGTCAGTACAGTATTAAGTGTGTGGTTTCTCAGCCTGGGGTTACTGATAACATGTGGTCATAAACAAAGTAATGTGGATGTTACCTTGTAATGAACCAGCATTTTGATGACCGAAAAATACCTGGCATGGCACAAGTTGAAATTATTGTGCCAGTATTGTAGACAGTGATAGTTGATTGATTATTATTTTTTATACTTTTTTGGTGATAGTAACTTTATGAAAAGGAAGTTAGTAAAATATTAAATTATGTTGGGTTAATGAAGACTTGTTGCACTGTACCATGACTACATCCTCACAGCACCTTATTGAGCGGCTGTTGGCAGTTTTGAGTGAATTGTCATAGGCATATGTAGCTTGAAGATTAATGTGCATGTCTGGGCCAAGCAAACTAGAGGAGCCTGAAATGATGAAGTCTTGTAAGGTAAGAAGCATGTTGGTCTATAACCATTGTATCTATCTACTGCTACATCTGCATGATATAGTGTTCTAGAATGTTAATTTTTAGTATTACAGAATTTATTTTATTTAATTCTTATATATGCAATAATTCCCAATTACTGCCGGCATCAGTATAGCTTACGTACTAATGGTGGAGTATGGCCCTTCTTGTTGCTTCTGTGTTCAGGCTTTGTTCATGAGGTATGTATCACACCTATTGGTATTATTTATGTTTCTTAATGTTCCCTCCTTTAATATATAAACTGTTCAGAAAATAAACCAGATAAAAGTTATATTTAAGACTAATTATAGGCAGGTGATAAAATACCATATCTGTATTATATTATGATTCTCTGAGGCTTTGGTTAATTGTGTGTAAAAAGCAGCTTCCGAGTGAGGTGTGCATGGAATAATTCAGTTTATTAATGATCAGAATACTTTCAGTATATCTCGTTACATTGCTCACTTTTAAGTCTCGTATCTCTACTTTACTGCCACTTGGTTTGTCAGTAAACTCTCAGACTACTGTATGCTGACATTTGATTTCTGGTCAATAACTTTAGCTTTACATATTATTCTTTTAACAAATTCTTATTGAGACTTTCCAGTGGGTATACATATAAAGTCATTGATTTAGTGGTCAAAGGTCAAGTCCTTTGCGGGCAAACTGTGTGTGTGAGTTGTGGCACTTGTCTTTTGATATACCGTACCTTCTCAACATCTCTTTTCACCACGTTAACACCTGGTTCACATCCGTTTTGTATTGGACTACCTGAATTTTTTTTTTCTCAGACTTAAGTTTCTTCAATGGTTAAAGTGAAGTTTTGCTCCACACATGACAGAAAGCCTCACTTAACTCACTCAGTACAGTGCTGTAGTTAATGAGGGTTTTTTCTTTTCCTATGATATTTCAACAGTGGTAATGCACATGTGTCTTGGGTTCAATCCCAGCCCTGGAATAGATTATAAAAGGGTGTTATCCAGTGTGGCCCGGCCAAACATCGCAGGTTTTCACCAGGTACAGTAATATGGTTTCCTCCCGTACTTATTTTTGAGGCGCTAAAAATTTTCAGCTGGGACATCTTCAGGACACAAAAATTGCAGTCAGGATCCTTTTTGGATCCTTGAAAATCATTTTGTGTGTGCGTGCGTGCGTGCGTACGTGCGTGCGTGCGCGCGCCAAACCCTCCCAGCAAGTCACAAGACTGAGGTGAGCTGTGTAATGATGAAATTGGTTACATGTCATTTTGTGCTTCATCAAGTTAAGGCCTTTAAATATGTAAACAAAGTCATTTCATTCACTAGACTACAACTACTGTGGTGAAAACTAAGAAAGACAATTACCTGTAAACTACTTGATGCTCACTCTGTCTTCAAGGCTACATTTCATGTGAATTATTATTAGCATGGTTGTGACTTGTTACAATTTTTATGAGGATGGAGAGGAAGAATACTCAGTACCAGTAGGCAGCAAGATGTTGCCTTCTTGAATATACAGTAATGCCGTTATTTGTCAGAATTCCTACCATTTGCAGCACCCTTAAATATGACTTATTCTGATTGGGTCTGTTTAATGCCTCTGAGTTCCTATCTTGTTTTCATGGGCATAAGTGGTCATGTTATACCTTGTGATTACCTTGCACCGCTAATTACCTTGTTAATATAAAAAATACACAAATTCTTTTGACATATATGATAAATGAAGGTTGTGGTGCAGAGTGTCTTAAATCTAGTGTGACATACTGTGCCATTGTTCGTTGTTCGTCATTCGCTTTTACCTGCCGTAAAAAATTCCTTGTTTTATGTTGTTCCTCGTCCATCAGAACACCTCAAAATATGTCTCCGATTCACCCGTGTTACAATAACGTTTATATTTCTTTCTGTGTCATGTATTGCATCTTCATTTTTTATCAATAAATTACATAATCCTGTGTCACACCCATCTCTTTGTTGGCTGTTTATTTATTTAATCTTGATGGTTCTCTTGTTTTTTATAGCATATTATTCACTCCTTCCCTTATCATAGCCTCCTCTAGTTTGGGTGGCCATTATGTCAATTGGCTTTGTCAGTAACAGTACAGTAAATATGATCGCAGGCGCTTCAAGATCATGGAGTACTTTTGCATTAAGACCTTTTTATCAGATTTGGGTTCATAAGTTTTAAGGAGAAATGTTAATGCTGATGTAGATGTTGGTGTAAAGTACAGATACAGTGAGTTCCATGAGGTGATGATGTTATACAGTTGGAACCTTGATTAGCTAAACTCTATTATTGTGCTAACCATCCTGAGGGGTACAGGACAGTAACTTCCCCCCCCCCCACACCCCACCCCTCCCCTCCCATTTGACAGTTGTTGGCCAATTATGTGATTGTTCATCCCTCCCTGTTGCAATTATCTTCCGTGTAAATGATGGATTGAAGACCAAGTTCGTCTTCTAGAGGCAGAGGGGGAAAGTAATCTCCCAGTCATCAAAGTCTCTTCATTAACCCAAAGTAACTCTTGGTTCTTCTTTCCTTCTTTATACAGCAGGGATAGGAATATTATGCTCTTTGTAATGTTTCCTTCTATTTATTATTATTTATCATTTCACCACCTATCAGTTTATTAACCATACAGGTGGTTAGTCTGTTCTTTGTTAGGAGAGGAGGAAACCAGAGAACCCAAAGAAATCACATGATGTTTGGTAGTGTTGCACTGGATAATGCCCTTCTCACATCTGACCAGGGCCAAGGATTAAACCCAGGACAGAGTAGCAGAGATGGATGCATTACCACCAACACCTTGGACCCTGTCTTAAAATACTGATTTCTTTCAGGTCGTATCCCGAGTAGAAAATATTCAGAGACAGTTAAAAGTTGCATCAAAGTTCTCCCGTTCAAACACAATACAAATTGGTGGAACATTGAATATTAGAGTGAATGTTTTGTTAAATGCTGAACCCTTCCTTTGGATTCATTATGTGAGGTTATGGCACACAGTACATATGTCTATTGGCTAGGTAAACACAGCTTTAATTAGACATCCTGCTTTTAGAGTGCAATGTTTGCTTCCAGTTTACCTTTATTAAATGAGATAATGTACTTGTAATGAGGAGGGAAAACCAATTCCAAGATCAACACCCAGTTACTGAATGGGGGCAGATTACCGTGTGGGGCTCCCAAGATGGTTACCACATTCATGAGAGCCACCTGGTTAGAATTACTCATCCATTTTATATCATTTTATAAAGTTATAAAGTATATTATCCACAGCTAATAATCCAAGGTACTGTACTTAATACCATATGGCTTCACAGTAATATTTAGAACATAGTGTCAGTCAATGGAGCAATGAATGATGAATTCGAATCCAAGTAACAGAGGTAAAGAAAACACCAGGTTCATTGAGAAGTGTATGGAGAAGGAGAACTGTCATAGGAGGTGAAGTTAGGAGTGTATTGGGGTAAGGATGAGGTGACATAACTCTACTGTAAACATGGACTCTGGATATAATGGCAAGAAGCAGACTAGAAGTAAAATAAATGATATGCTTAAGAATTTTACCAGGTGAATGGAATACTGTACATAAATTAGATGTGGAATTGAAAGTACAGTATCATCGGACAGAGCTGGTCAGTGTAGTATGTTAAGATGGTATGGAAATATTGAAGGGATGGGAAGTGACTTTATAATGTAGAGGTGAGTGTTAGGAGGGAGAGGGGAATACCAAGACACAGGTGGAAGGATAGGGTGAAGGATGTACTGTATTAAGAGTGAATTGGGAAGGACGTTTAAGAAGTATATTAGTGGTAATAGAG